CTACTATTTAGGGTTTAGGGGCTGTGGGGCAACTTCATTCAACAAGTCCACATAAGTCCACAATGTCTCGGCCCGCAACGCTAAGGCAATCTGTACGTTCAAGAAGCCGGTTGGGCTCCATCTAGGAGTTTGAAACACTATAACGTCCATTGTACCTGGCAAGCTCTGGGATTCAAATCAGCGCAAGGTTTACGTGCAAGCAGGACCAGCCTAAAAAGCCAGCGGCGAAGATCATCACCACCAAGAAGAGCAGCTTTATGCCCTTGGCTCAGCGCCCTGAATGTTCACCTATGTGTTTTTTGCCCAAGTGAGCAGATGTCACAGATGCTGAGGCAGAGCGCCATTGTCCGCCAGAAAGATATCAATGACCTTCTCACAGCAATTCTGCTGACACGAACATGACTTACTCCTCCGTACTTGAAACGAAGACTCGTCTTGCGAGGAAACCCTGCTGCAGTAGTGAGAAAGTGTGAAGAAGCTATCTGAGCATGACCCAGCCGAGAGCCATGCGTCTGTATGGTGCATTTGAAGTGCGTCCAAAACCTTGCAGAACGTGCAAGGTAGCTCTTTCAGACTGGTTTTGCCGCAAACTCCCGAACTCCTGGCAGTCATGTGCAACACACTTCTTACATTAGGTTTGCTCAGAGCTCAAATCATTCAAATGCATGCAAGTGCGTCATGCTGAGGTCCTTCCATGCTCTCTGAATCAGTCAACGAATTCATCCCTCCCCCAATCATCAAAGTCCCCACGGGGTAAAAAGACAGACTCCCACAATGGTACCACTAAGGGGGGAAGGGAATGCGTACTTTTGAAAACACTCTAGGCTGCTCGCCCAGGTTGGTCCCGTTGAAGACCCCCGTCCAGGAGTGGGCTTGACCTACCTGCGGTGAGCACACGACAGGAACGCTCCGTAGGCCAACAGACATTTGAGGGAATTCCTCAAGTCCCTTACCATCATCTATGCTTTGTTTAGCTCATGTGGTTTTTGCCGTTGTTGCTGACGTCTCTATGTTGGCCGAGGATTGAAGGACACACTCGCCGCACTCCAACCATGCCTCGAATGAGTCGGGGACACACTCGCGACATGCACTCCTGACAAACAATCTGGCATGAACTCATGGTGTACATGAAGACCTTGTGGCTATCTTGCTTTTTTCCGACTAGCATCATTAAGCAGCGTCGCAGGCAATTAGTTGCAACGATGGCTCATTCAAGTCGTACTGCAGCTGCTTCGACTGATAGCTATATTCTGTTGATTGAGATCCACAAGCCCCATGCGCCAAACCCTGTAACGAAGCCCTCAGCCCTGACTTAATTGATAGTACAGTAAGGAATGGACGGATAGGTCCCGCCAGGACCTCCCCAAAATGATGCCTACATCTCGTTCCTTCCTTCCCTAATCACCACGCGCAAAATGCCGGACCGTTGTATCATCGTATCTCGCAGCTAAACCCCGCTCTAATTTATGTGCGTACATGACATAAGAAGATTTGAAGTATAGGGCTCAAATCGCCAGCATCAGCGCTGGAACTGGTGGTGACCCCAGTGTCTCACACGCCAGTTTCGCCGTAGGTGGGGAAACACGTTCATCCATGCTAGTTCTGTTTATTGCTGCTCTGCGCTCCTGTCCGGAAGCCGATTCAAAACCTTACATGTGCGGTACTTGGTCGACATTGATAGGTGGTGCGGCGCATCGCACATTTGTAGATAATGATGTGCATTGTGGTCGCCTTACCAGGAATACACTGGGCACAGGTGACAACCACATATGGATGCTGGCTACAGCGTCGACAACGACATCATAGACAGTGGTTGCTAGCTCAAATGTGGCAGCAGCAAAGCTGCAAGTGTGGAGGGTGGCTGTGACGATGAATATGGCCGCTTCATGGAGCAAGGCCACAACTTGGCTGGTGACTACAACGCTGGCCGCAGTGTTGCTGGTTGCTGGGTCTCTGATTGGGAAGCATGACATATGGGGTTTCTCAGCTGTGCGGCATGACTTGTAGGAGCTTCTACAAAAGAGAGGGTCTATTTAGGCTGCGACTTGCATCGGAAGCTGAACGATGGTGCCTGCGGTGAGCTATTCTGCCTCGAGCATGACGTCCAGCCCAACGGGCAACTGCTTTCGGACAGCATGATCGGCGGAGACGATGCCCTTAACCTGCCTTACACCGAGTTTCGTGATGGAAAGCCGGTGCCCTTTTGTAAGATCGTGGATCTCGAACGTACGGCCGTGGACTTCGCGGACGATATGCAAGTGGCAAAGTAATTGCCGATTTGCTCAGGAACCGCATACGCTCGGGAACAAGACCGATGCTTCATTACTTCGAATCTGGCAACTTGCCGACAGCTACAAAAGGCTGCACCTGACTCGGTGTCTGCAAAGCTTGCAGAAAAGGGCGAAAGATATCGCTTGGGA